GGCCCCCGCTGCCGCCGCCGCCGCCGCCGGAACCTCGGGCCGGACCCGCCGCCGGGCGGACGCCCCCGCCCCGGACCCCGAGCGCATCCAGCGCCTCCGTCGCCTCATGGTGGTCAAGCAGGAAGAGGATGGCACGGCCGGGGCGTCCCGGCGGGGACCGGGTCGCAGCCGGAAGGCGCCGCGCAACGTGCTCACGCGAATGCCCCGTGAGTCCGAGGGCCGGCGGGGACGAGACGGGACGGGGCGGGGCCGGCGGGGTGTTTGCCGCGGTGAGCTTGCTGCAGGCTGCATTATTGCAGAGAAGTGAACAACCGCGAGTGAGCAGGGTCTGCCAGAGTAATGGGGGCGCGGGGAGTATCGAGGGTCTGCCAGAGCAGTACGGGAAGAGTGGTATGGCTGTAAGGAGCCATGGGACGGTCTGCGGAGGAGATCGGGGTTCATGCAGGTGTCTCCAGAGGTGATGAGCCTGCAGAGAGGGTCTGTAGGAGTGGCAGGGGTGTCGGAGAGTTTGAGGGACATCATGGGTACGCAGAGGTGGTGAGAGGTCTTGGGGACCACAGACAGAGGTAAAGGGAGGGAGGGTTGTGCAGAAGTTGTGGGGGAGAGCATAGTCAGGACTAGGGGAAGGACAGTGGTTAGTGGGATTTGAGGATCACGTGCACTGTAGGGAGATGTGTTCAGATAGGACCAGGGGCCAAAATCTCACAACCCGTACTCTGGAAGTGACAGCTCCTTTTGGGTTGGATGACCAGGACAGAAGGCTACAGGGTCTTGATACACATATATTCACGTTACTAAATACAAGTGCTGGAATGCAGCATGCATAAAGGCCACTAAAACACAGGCACTGTTTCACAGCCACTCTGCGTGGCCCGGTGCAGGACAGTGTCTGTGGGCTCAGGTTACCATATGCGCCAGGTTATTTTAAGTTCTGCCAGTGTAAACTGGGAGAATTTCTTGGAGCTTCCTAATAGATCCTTAGAGTGAAGCTGTAAACAGCAGAGCTCTAATGTGTGAGTTAGGTCTTGTTTAAATGGAATAAAAACAGCCCAGGGTTGTATCTTTTGTCATCTGGCAAGCAGTTCTGACATCTGCCCTGTGAACACAATGACCTACTTAGCCATTCAAAGCATCTGTGTCCTGATAATTAAATTGTGACATTACTGAGCAATTGCTACTTGAATAGAGGGGTTTGCTAGCAAGATTCTATTTCCTTCATTCCTAGAAATTTGTTAGGAAAAACATCCTGAAAAGCTGTGTGGTGTTATAGGTGCCTTTGTTGGATGTTTTACCTTGCCAGCACATCCCAGCCTAAGCTAGAATTTACCCCACCATTCCTGACCTCCAGGAAAGAAAGTGTGAGTGTTTCTAAAATGAGGGAGTCTGGAGGGGTTAAGTATGTGTTTTGCCACTATTCAGTTGTTGAAATTCACTCCAAGTCTCAGATTCTAACATTTATTTCCATGCTATCAGTTATCGCTTTGCTACCAATATTGTCAAGGGAAAAAAAATATGTCTGTGTGGCAGGTGGTTTTTGCTTTACCATGAAGCACTTTGCTGTAATGGTATGACAGTGTTTGGAGTGTGAAGTGTGTTAACTTCCTATGATTAAATATTTGCCTAGAATCAACATCTCGGGGAATGTGCACTAGTTGCTGAAAATTTTAATCATGGCACTAGAAACAGTTGCTATGCATAATACAGACAAGTTGACATCAGAAAGAGTTGATGACCTTCAGAAAGCAAGAAAATGAAAGAAGTATGGGCAAGGATTATTAAAGAAAGTTTCTATGAGAAGTAAGCTTTAGGTTTTGAAGTTAAGGATGAGCATGGTTGAGTATGATTTTTTAAAAATCAGACTACTTGGTGTAATTTGTATTTCCACAAGTGTATACAATCTCTAGATTTAAACACTTGCTCCTCCAACTTCTAGGTATTTTACATTAGGTAAGTTACTTAAATGCTTTTGGGCCATAGTTTCCTGATTTGTAGAATGAAAACAATAATAGAATTTATCAGTCATTGCAAGGATTAAACTGGTTAACACGTTTACAGCATTTACAACAGTAAAAGGGAAACTTGCAATGAATGTTAAATGTCACCATTATTCGGGGTTATTACTTTCAGATTTTCATAATTACAGGCTCCAAGTCAGAATGGATATCACCTTCCCATATTGAGAATTGGCTCAGTTGTTTGCTAATAAATGACTTTGAGCAAGTTACTTCAATCTTTCTGAACCTCAATTTCCTTATCTATAAATTGGGGTGAGATAGGAGCACTTATGTATTAGCTTAAAATAATATATGTAAAGTTAGACTTACCAGTGGGTGGGTCTGGCTCATACATGAGGCTGCTAATGGGTCATAATGATGGTGGTAATCATGACGATAATGTTGTAGATCTGAGTGAGGGAAGATAGGAAACTTAGAGTAAATCAGTCATCAATAAGGTTCCAGACTGCGCTGTGCTGTGGAAAGAGAAGGACAGAGAAGGTCATAATTTTTGAGAATCTATTATCTGAACACACAGGGAGAAGAAAGTAGGCTAAAAATGACCTGAATTTGGGAGGATATAGCCCAAGAATAGTGGCAGTACAGGTGGGGACTTATGAGAATAACTTCAAAGATAAGGGAGATGTTTTTATGTCAAATTAAATTTTAGAACCCTGGCACATTTCTTTTGGAGTCTGTTTCAGGAACGGTTAGAAAGAGAATGCATTCTGATTTAGATTGAGGAGCTCATTCATTTCTGCCTCTACTGTTTGCTCTTACAGGTGGTACTACTGTTGTATTTTTGATCCCACAAGGAGAGAAATGGTCCCTGGAATTAACACCATGTTAAATCTTTGGAAGAGAAAATTAAAAAGTTGAAATATCTGAGTTTGCCATTTATTTAATTATAATAAGGGACTGTTAAGATAATGCTTGCCCTTTCTCTCTGTTTTAGAAGCATAGGGGAAGAAGTACATTAAATGGCCCTATTTTTTTCAAGTTAGAAAAAGAATAGTCTTTCCATTCCTTATAAAAGCACATATGTTTGAAGGCAGGGAGATTCGTGTGCTTGTGGGCAAAGGGTAATCCAGCAATGTGATCAGCTTCCAAGAAATTGAATCATAAAGATTTTTCCTGAAAGTAATGTAAAAATTCACTAGTCAGACCAAGATTCTCTTCCTTTCCAAGGCTGCTGTTTGGCTCCAACTGTACATTACTGCCAAATTTTCAGTCTGACAAAAACTCTTACTTCTCATCTGTTAATTAATTTTCTTCCAAGAGTATTTTCTTTCATTAATCATGGTCATCAGCTTTATGTCAACTCATGAATGAGGGATAAAGTGGTTAAGAAGAACTGACTTAGTTATCCAAACTGAAATGCAAGACTCTTCTCTATTAAGGCACTAGAAACAAGAGAGAGGTGTGTTTTGTTTTGTTTTGTTTACTATTAATAAATACTCTCCAAAGAATTTTACCTTGCAAACTTGGGAGAAAAAAAACAGATACAGTGTACCAGGGTTATGTGTGTAGGTTGGGGTGGGGAGTATTCTTTTGGGAGGTTTTGTATACTAAAGCCAGTACATTGTGAGAGCTAAATTAACATGAAGTAAGAAAAATCCGTCTCTGAAATTCTGAGGAAAAACGTTCTTTGTAATAAAAACTGAAAATTGTAATCCCATTTTTCTTCCCATGAATTGTCATATTGCTCTTTTCATGTGATTCTTACTGTCAGTCTCCTAAGAGCCAGATGCTGATCAGCAGGTATCCTTTGCACCTTGGATCAAGGCTTGGATTACAACCAGTCCTTTTCTTCATAGTGTAAAGATCGTGTACATTGAAACACCAGTATCGCTTCTTGGCCTTTTGGTTAAGATCAAGTGAAACACCAGTGGCCCCAGAGAACTTGCACATGGAGTAGCTCAGATTGTGGGGTGAAAAAGCCGTTCTTGTTGAGAGCATGGCATATGTTAAAGGCAGATAAGCTACACAGTTCATTTCCTTCAAAAAAACAGGAACAAAATTTTTGGTTCTTTGGAAAGCCCAAGCTAGATATCCGTTTCTTAAGAATTATGCTAAAAAGGAATTGTCTTAAGGTGTAGAAGTGAGAAGAATCTAGCTGGTGATATGTACAGTTAATGTATTTTTTTGTTCACAAAAGTTTTTAAATTATGGTACATCTTAGAATCAGTGACATTACAGAATAAAGGATATGTTTACATGATACTCATGCATATAATTTACCCACATTCTGGTGGAATCTGGCATTTCTGTGTGTGTTGGCTGTACAAGCCCCGTTTCTCACTAGGTCTTCTGGTTTTGAAAGAGCCTGTTTCTGTGCTTGTTGCCTTGTTCTTCCGGCCATGTCGGATGCTCACGGCTTTTGATTCTGGGAGTGGAGGCAGATGTCATTGCTGTCCTGACTGTTCTTCCCTTGTTGCAGTGCACGAAGGCAGCCCTCTGGGTGAACTCCACCGTTGTATCCGGGAGGGGGTGAAGGTGAATGTGCATATCCGCACTTTCAAGGGACTTCGGGGCGTCTGTACAGGCTTCCTCGTAGCATTTGACAAGTTCTGGAATATGGTAATTAACCTGTTTTAAGGGGGATAGAGAATCTATACTAGAGATTAAATATTTTATATGTCTAAAAGACCTGAGTAGCCTTATTAAGCAAAACTACAAAATAACTTCTCAGAACTAAAATCTTTGTATACTCTTAGACAATAACAACAAAAATTATTTTTATTGCTTCCTTTTTCTTAAGGCGGTGGTACTAAACCAGGGTAATTTTGCTCTTCCCTCCCTCCCAGAGACATTTGGCAATGTCTGGGGATTTTTTTTTTTTTTTTATTGTCATACCTGTTGGACAAGATACTGTTGGCATCTAATAAGTAGAGGGCAGGGATGCTGCTCAGTCCTGCAATATACAAGACAGCCCCCAGCAAAGAATTATCCAGTTCAGAATGCCATTAGTACCAAAGTTGAGAGACCCAGCCTAAAAAGAATAATTATCGGGCTGGGGATTTAGCTCAGTGGTTTTGCCGCCTGCTGCACAAGCGCAGGGACCTGATTTCGATCCCCGGTACCAAAAAAAGAATAATTATCTAATTTAGTTATTTTAAATCATTTCCTGCTAACCATTCTTTTACTCATTTAAAAATATTTATTGGCTTCCCACTTTGGCTGGACCTGGTGGTAGGGACAGTATTTGGGAAGATAGAGGTGAAACAGACATTAATAAGTGAAACACTTTGCAGGACATTCCCTTACAAAACAGTGTGCTACACACTCCCAGCATTACAAATGCTTACTGTCTCGCTAGACATTAGTAGGAGGGAAGCAGTATATGATAGTGCAACTATAAGATTAGATAGTTAACAGAACTATCAGGATTTCTAGTGGGTTTTTTCCCATCTCCAACTTTCCTTTTCCCCTTGCTGTATCCCCATCTGTTCATTCTCCTGGATAATACAGTAGTTTTGAACTGCTTGCTACGTGCCCATCCTGTACTAAGGGCTTTATCTGTTATCCTAATTAATGAATTATAGGTCCTATTACTATTCCATCTCATAAATGAAGAGATTGAGTCCAGAGAAACTGAAAGATTGGTCCCAGGTCACAGGATTATTAAGTGGAAGTACCAGACTTTATCCTGGGTCTTTTTGACTCCAGAGACCATGTTTTCAACCATTACAGAATTTGAATTCTACCTTCAAATCTTGGGTGGAGATTTGAATCCCAGCCTCACTACTTGTTAACTTTGGTAATGGCTCTGAGCGTCAGTTACCGCTGTAGGACAAAATACTTTATTATTTTAATTTTACCTCTGAGGGGAAAGGATTTAAGAGAATATACTTGTTGACAGATTATCAGCTTTTATTTGTAGGGTGATTTACCTTTTTCAGAGTAATTTATGTTCTGTAATCTCATTTGACCTTAACAGTTGTCCTGGGAGGTTGAGCTCAGTGATGAGAACTCACCAGTAATTCTACCTGTAACCCTGGTTAATCTTTGTTATTGTAGTCATAAGACATAGAAACTAAGGAGGGTAAAGAAGCAGTAGTATTTCTCAAAGTGTGGTCTAAAGCTATCCTGTATTGTGATGCGCTGGGGTTTCTGGTTTAAACAGGTTCTTGGGCTTCATTCAGATTTACTGAGCCAGAACTTCTAAGCGAGTAGCCTCAGATTTGTATTTTAATAAGCTTCCTGGATATTTATGTACACTGAAACGTAAGACCCTCTACCATGCAGTGGTAAAGACCTTTATCATGCATAGGAGAAAATTGTATTGTGATAGCAGTTTGGAAATCCTGTGCAGAAGGTGACAGGTATTGCCATTTTCTTCTATCCAAGTGTTCGGTTACCTGTTGAGTTTTGCTACATTTGGATGTTATTCTGCCTTTTTCCCCAAAAGCTTTAAAAATACTGTTTTTAATTGTTTCCTTTTTCCCCTCTGGGCTGTTCCTCTAGGCACTTACTGATGTGGATGAGACCTACAGAAAACCTGTTCTAGGCAAAGCATACGAGCGGGATTCTTCGTTGACTCTCACAAGGGTAGGTAGTTCCCCCGACCTCCTCTGCAGCTCAGGAATCACTGAGCCCCGTGACCAGGGTGATCTAGAGAGAAACCACTACCCACAAACCACGTATGCCTGGACCGGAATCTTCATTAGTCTCCCCTGTCGTGCTGCCAGCTGCTCTCCAGTGCCTCTGGACTTCTGCATATATAAACAAGTTACCTCCTGTAAGATTTGCAAGTCTTTCAGCTTTATATCACAGAAATAAGTAAGGTGCCTTTTCTCCTGACATGCTTAGTGATCTGAGTTATGGCTAGAAATAGAAAAGTTATTACTAACTTGTTAAAAATTGAAATGCAGGGAGTCCTAAGAGCAGAAAAAGAAATCTGGCTTTATCTATAGAAAGAGGGATGTTGAAGGCTGAGGAGAAGGCTAATATTTTTATTAATTTCCTTGTAGCTGTTTGATCGGCTGAAACTACAGGATTCCTCCAAAAAGGAAGCAGATTCGAAGTCTGCAGTTGAAGACTCCACTCTGTCCAGATACTCGCAGACATCAACTTGGAAGGTGGCTTCCGTGTGGGGAAGAGGAGACACTGACCGAAGCTCTCACAGGCGTTCCCATTCCGTTCCTTCTTCCCTGCAGGCCTCTGCTAGGGAGGAGTCCAGGTCCGAGCTGTCAGGGAGGACTACAAGGACAGAAGGGTCCAGTGTGGGAGGTACCTTTTCCAGGGCCACCACCCTTTCCCAGGGCCAGCCCCGTAAGAAAAAGCGAAAGCCCAAGGTGGATTACCAGCAGGTATTCACTCGACACATAAATCAGATTTTCATTCGAGGTGAGAATGTGTTGCTGGTTCATCTTGCACAGTAACCAGCTCAGCCTCATTTGAGCTTTGGTGTTTAGAAATAAAGTGCATGAGTTACTACTGTGCTGTACCCTAGTATCCCAGTGAAACTCTGAGTTGGAATGATTCCCTCTGGACCTGCACATGCAGAGGACAGAGCAGGCTCGACCTTCTGGAAGATGAGCTCAAGGGGAGGACAGGCCTCGGCAGGGTGGGCATTTGAGCTCATGTCAAGGTAGAAGCCATGCATCTGATTGGGTGTCGTGGTCTACTTCAGTCATGCTAGCCAAATATATAAGATTTTGCACTTGACTTGGGGATCACAGTATGAGTGGAATTCACTCTTCAGTGACTATAGAAAAAACTCTCTCAAAAGAATTATCTTATTTTGAAAAGCTAGTGCCCCAAGTACTCAAGAATTTGATTCTAAGAGTAGCAGTATAAATGGCCCTGAGCCCTGCACCCACATCTTATAACTGACCTTCGAGTTTTGCTCAACGCCATTCTCTCTTGACCAAGAAATGAAATTTATTATCTTTGAATATCTATAAGGCCTAGGAAAATTACCAACTTACATAGGGGTGAAATTTAGGTAGGTGGTATATTCAAAGTAGCCAGTGCTGAGCACTGTCTTGATCCCTCTCCTTGCTATGGAAGGGAGTTCAGGCCCTCTTCAGTCTTCCCCTCACCAGAGGTAGCCTCTGCAGATGGCGTGCCAGATGAGACTAACTTGCTTGTTGGTGCCTCCCGTCCTTTGTGCTAACTCCTGTGGCATGGTGCTAGTGCATGTCCCCTGTGGTATTGCCTCTGTGTGTAATGTGAACTGTCCTGTGAGCTTCATGCTAGGAGACTGTCCTTCATGTCCAGCTTCAAAGAATTTGGCAAGAACTCAGTAATACACCTAGACACACGGCTGAGAGTCCCCTTTCCACGTGGGGCCGGCTTCGTGTAGACTTTCAGAATGGCTTGCCATGTGGTGGTAGTTTTATTCCTTGAGTCCCTGTTCACAGGGACACTTTCCTCACAGCCGGGCTGGAGTAACAGGAGCACCATGGGACCCAGGGCTGCTTCTACTTGAATCATACTATTATATGCTTTGTAAATCGCCAGTGCAGAATAGGCTGCATCTTGACATAGACTGTTACGCAATACTGACTTTTTGTTTTGTTTATATTTGTTTTATCTTGAGTAACATATTCAAAGTGAGAAGAAACAGCTAACTAGTTAAAATGTATGAAAAGAGAAATTTCCTGTTGTATTCATTGTTTAGTTTGAGACTTCTGAGGCACAGTGTGCATAAGGTTTAGGGAACCAGAATACCTGCTTCTTCTAGCTAGACTGCTGGGTCGTTAGACAATGAAACGTGAGCAGATTTATCCCCTCCGTGCCTCACTTTCCCCTATGAGACACCTACCTCACCAGGACATTGTGACAAAGAATTTTAGGAAGGCATTTTACGGCCTCTAAACATGTTTAAGTGCCATGAGTAATTTTTACTCACTCTGTTTCACAGCTCTGTAAGAATTCTACATCTTATGAACAGGGCAGGTGCTATATAAGAATGAAGTGTTCCTAGGTGTCATATTGTGGTCTAGTAACTATCATCAGAAGGCAGTGAAAACTTGAGGAACTAGTTTCCATATTCCATTCCTCCACCCAGAAGGACAGTGGAAGTTCTCAGAACATCTCATTAAGAGGAGAATGATACTTTGGTTTCTTTTGCTGCTCTCCCCTCATCTCAGTCCCGAGGTTTTTCTGATAATTGTCAGAAAGATTTATATAATACCAAAGGAACATGAGTATCTAAAAATGGCACATCCCCAAAGGGGAATTTGTAGAAGCCTTTATTTATTTACTGTTAATTTGTTTTTATTTTTAAATGCATTTGAAAGTATGCTTTAGAGCCAGATTAGATGTACTAAAGTTTTTATAGAGATTCCAGGTTACAAACTCAAGACCACAGTTATCTTTGGAATCTGCCAGTCTAAATTCTGTCCTCACTAGTGTGTCCAACAATCTCAATTCCCAGATTAATAGTCATCTTATTCCATCTTCAGGCAATGCTGCCTGCATCTCTTTGCCAGTCTCCCCTGCCAGCCTCATGTCTGCCTTCCTGTCCCTCAGAAGCTGTAATAGATACTCTGTTTTCCCAATAATGTAAAAATTTTGAATAAAAAATATAATTTCCATTTCATTCCATTGCCTTATTAAATCTAGCCTGATTGATTTTAAACACATACAAGTTTTTATGTTTATGTGTAACTTTCATATATTCACAGAAGGATTAAATTACTATTTTCTCCCCAACATGACATGAAAAAAAATTTGAACTGTGTGCTTTTAGGTACTGTAATGCCCCCTATTTATTGAGTGGTTTAGGCAATGCTCCTAAAATGAATATTATTTAGTAAGTGTACTATTTTGTACAAAGCATGGTAATTATTTTTAGAGCAGTCCATTTTTTAAAATTGCTGTCTTTTCTTTATTATTGGAAAAGTTTTTCAAAAATAAAGAAAAAATGGGCCCAAATAATGTATTGCTGCTCAAAAATTGTAACCATGTAGGTCATTATGATAAATTGCTAGGGTGACTGAGGATGTAGCTCCCTGGTAGGGCACATGCTTAGCATGTGTGAGGCCCTGAGTTCAATCTCCAGCACAGTGATAGATAGGTAGATAGATAGATAGATAGATAGATAGATAGATAGATAGAAAGAAAATTGCTATGAAATAATTGACATCTTCCCAGGAGAAGGGAAAATAATGGTAGAGAATCAGAACCCTTGACCCCCACCTCCACATCACCTGAAGGGTTGCACACACTGAAAAGCAACAGAACTGGTCTCTGGTGTTCTCCAGGGATCGGGCTTGGGATCCCTGGATCACTTGTTAAGAATAGTATCTGTTTTGGGCTGGGGATTTAGCTCAGTGGTTTTGCCGCCTGCTGCGCAAGTGCAAGGACCCGAGTTCAATCCCCGGTACAAAAAAAAAAAAAGAATACCTATTTTGGAACATTGAACTTGGTTTTTCAAAGAAATCTCTGGACAAATGACTTATGTTTGCATGACAATTGATAGGACAGACCTGTGCATTTGGTGGCCTTCTCTGGTGTACCCAGCTTTGTTAGACAATAATGTGATTAAGAAATGGAACATAAAGTTTCATACGCAGAACAATTTCAAGTGCCATTCTTTGTACATAGAAGTGATTCTTCTGCTCTACCATTAGTAGAACATGTACTTAGGTTGTTTGATTTAGTATCTGGGAAGCGTTCATGCTTCCTGTCTGGGATCATCTTATGACCAGAACCAGGCTGATTATGAAATGGTTAGCCAGAGTTAGCAGCGTCTGAGCTGCCGTTTGGCACCTCGCTCTGTCTGCATGGTGTGTGTCAAATCAGAAAGCCTAGAAAACATGAACACTAAAATCTAGGTGCATAGATATCCTCACTGTGAGTTGTTGGTGGATCAGGAGCAGTTCCGTATGTCCTTGGAAAAGAGTACAGGAGTATGTTCAGAGATTGTCAGGTCTGGACTATGAGCTGCCCTTAATTTCCCACGAGCTCACAGAAGTCTGAATGTACCACTTACTTCTGCCCCTGCGTTGCAAGGGGACCAAGACATGCAGGGAGGAGCTGGGGGAAGGGGAAGTAAGAAGAATTAAGATACATTATGCACATGTACCAACTCCCCAGGAGGAATGTAATCATGTACTGTAAACATGTACTAATAAAAATGAAAACTGAAAAAATAGAAACCTAACTTGATACAAAATGGATATTTGTATTTTTAAATGTACTATTTCCGTAGCAGCCAACATGGCCAAAACCATGAAATAGAATTGGTTCTGTAAATTGCTTCTATAAATTTTCTCTGAATTTTTTAGGAAAAAATTATAAGTTATTCAAAGACAGCTGGCTGTCACTGGTGCTGCCCCCAAAGCTTTCCATTTTTTTTGTATGTATTTTTAATGAATGAAGTGATTGCTGGGGGAAGGTCAAGGTTCATGGAGGAGAAGAGAATCATGGTATAAATATAATAGTCTTGCAGTTGTTTTAACTTTTCTTTTTCTGTACCTACCACATACAGAATGCAGTCAGCCCCATTTCAGTAGCTTACGTTCACCAGTCTGTGTCTTTCTTTTCCCAGAAGGTTTTTCTTAGTGCTTGTACAGTGGAGTCGTCTTAATGTGGGCCAGTGTTCAAAGGTAGGCAGTCTGTCAGTGCTGTCTGGAAAATTCATTCGATGGGTTTAAGATAGGCCTTTGCGGTCCCTGACATGATTTTCTGGGCTCTCAAGGATTGGCCCTCCTTTATCCTTACTGTTTTGAGTATTTTTCAAACTCTTGTACATTCCCTTGCCCTCTGCTAATAAAAGTGAAAGCAATCAAGAAATGGGATTGGCTGGCTCGAAGATCTAGGGCAAGAAGCATAACACCTGAGACCTTCAGTTGGTCTATTATTTAGAAAAAAAATAGTTTGATAAGCTACCAGAGTTAGTGCTCCTTTAAAAACATTCACTGAAAAGATGGGAACTGTCCCTTAGGAAAGCCATATAAGCTATTCCCAGTACATTGCAATTGCTTTTGATTTTTGGTTTTTTGCAGCAAATGTCTGATGTTATGTTTTTAGAACTGTGAAAAAAAAAGTCTGAAGATATTTTCAGAGATGATATTTAAAGTACGGTTATCTGGCTGAATTATGTTCAGCCAGGTTCTAGGGCAGCTAGCTGTTCACTTCTTTCTCTGTTGTCCTGACAGTAAAGCAGATAGTAAGCCAGGTCTTTGAAAGTGATCTGCTTACTCCGTGACACCTAAAGACATCAGCCTTCTACTTGGCAACACTGACTTACTAATTTTTTTAGACAAGCCTAAAGCTGGGTGACTCTGTGTTTATAGTTTCAGTACTCATATACCAGCTGCTAGAAGAAAAACCATGACTATAATCTCATTTTTGTATATACTCCTAATTGTGAGGTTAACCAAAACCTTTCCTGTTTGAGGGAGAATTGCCACTAGTTACTTTAGTTTGCAATGTTCTGCATCAGGTATGTGTTATATGAAAGTCTGAACTGTAATAAATATGACTGTATTACTATACTGACTGCTTTGTCACTGCTGATTTAGGGGACAGCTGGGAGGAGTCCATTACCAAGAGGAGATAACCATCTAGAAAGTTAAAATATGGGAAGCCTCTTGCAGGCTCATTATTGTGATCTTGTGCCTTCCTGAACCAAAGCACATACATCTAGATCACCATCCTTGAGGAGGATTTTTCCCCCTAAGTTTATACTTAGAAAAGGAGTTTGGCCCATTTTTTAAATTCTCTCTTCTGAAGCACCACCCAATAGTAATTGCCCTGTGAATTTATGCTACATAATCGCTTAGTGGCATTAATCCATTCTCTTCACAGTCTGCCAAAATCACCATCCATTTTGCTCCCCCTGAGTGTTTTGCCAGATTTCCCTAATTGGTCATCAGCTGCTTCCAGAAATATGTGAATTTGCCACCAGCTTTCCTCTGTGCATGTAAGGAAGCTGAGCTGCCCACAAATTTGCCACATTGATTTTCTTGACCTCCTGTGTGCTTCCAAAATTAGGTCACCTTTACCTGGTAAAGAAAGCAAATAAAACTCACATCAGTTCTTAAGAGGGCAAACGTCAAGTTAACTGTCAAGGCACAGTTCGCCCCCTTTAAAAGGTACTACTGTATTAACTTGGACTGAGCCCATATACAAGGCTCTTGGTCTGGTCCTTGCTTGTCTTTTATGTCAGAGTTTTGGTTAAAAGAGAAAGTCATCACTGATCAAAATAAATGCACAAGAGTCAGATAGCTTGGAATTTGAAATATACAATGATAGTTAAATACTGACAAGGGAGTGCTTCCTGGATAGGACTGGCAAGTAACAAAACATTCCTTGCTACCCATGGTCTTTCCTTAGATTTAATGAAGCATTTTAAATCTGCTCATTTACCACTAGGTGGCAGTGGGTTAAAGAAAACTGCGTAACGGGAAGTCCCAGGAGGACCCAAGTCTCCTGGTGTCCAGTCTCTGCTATGATTTACACCCTTAAATGCTACAAGTCTGGACTGAAGTGTTCAAGGGGAAACAAGCTTTATTACCCAACTGGAAAAAATGAACATTTTTTAACCAATGTTGAATTTATCTAATTTGAAGGGCAGGACTGATGACTTTTAGGTAATGAATGCACAGTACTTGGAAAAGAGTGGTAAGAGAAAGGTTTCCCAGTGTCCACTGTTTCAGAGAATCGCCTGTTCTCATATCAGAGGGCTCCTGCTTTCTTGTCAGGATACTGTCACTGGCCCTCTTCCCATCTGCCACCAAGAGATTACCTTCAGAAAAACTGTCTTGAAGCCCTTGTTTTTCAGCACCTGTATCTCTGAAAGAATTTACTCTCTCCAGTGATGATTCATGAAAGCCCATTTTTTGTTTGTTTGTTTGTTTTGTTTTGTTTTTTGGTACCGGGGATTGAACTCGGGTCCTTGCACTTTCAAGGCAGGTGGTGGAACCACTGAGCTAAATCCCCGGCCCTTATGAAAGCCCATTTTTGAGAAAGGTTGCAGCACTCATGATTCTGTGGACACAGCTGAGCCTCCACTTCAAGACTAAGCAAATAGGCTCTTGAATCCAAGAAAATTTGTACTAAATAGAAAAATGGTTGTTTTCTGTTGGGAACAATGGGTAGAGGGAGGGACAGTGTTAGTGTGTTAGTCTGTCTCCTAGTACAGCACGACAAGGCCTTAAGGAGACCTTACCCTCCGTACCTCATAATTTTCCAGTGGCCTATGGTGAAGAGGAATGCAATATGTGAGATAATAAGTAACTGGTCTTCGAGGGAATTAACTAAAAGTTATAATTGTGTTAGCTTTCCATCATAATGAAATGCCTGAGATAGTCAACTTAGAAAGGGTTTATTTGGCTCACAGTGTTGGAAGTTGTAGTACATGATCAATTGGCCCCATTGATTTAGGCCTGTGGCAAAGCAGCACATCATGGCAGGAGCATGTGGCGGAGAAAACCACTCACCTCATGGCCAGGAAGCAAAAGAGAAAGGAGAATGGCTAGAGTCCTACTAGGATGCCTTTGAGGTTACACTCCCATAGCCCAAAGACCTCTCACTGGGCCCTGCTTCTTAAATGTCACACCACCGCCCAGTAGTGCCAGCCTGCAGAACAAGCCTTTTTCACTGGGCCTTTAGTCGATTTTCAAAATCCAAACTGTCAGTGACAAAGAGCTTTGTCTTATGCCTTTTTGTTCCTTGGTAACATATTTCACTCAATCAACTTTCTAAAGGGCCAGAAAATAGTGCAATAAGAAATTGTCATTTTCAAGTATATCAACTTTGTGCTGAGCATATTATATGCATTTCTCTGTTCAGAAGCAGCCACCACCTCTTAGTTACTATATCACTGGGACACAACTTAAGGGAGGAGAGGTTTATTTTGGCTGATGGTGTTGATAGGGTTCAGTCCATGGTCAGCTGGCTCCAAGGCAGGAAGGCATGGTAGAAGGGCCTGATTGGAGGAAAGCTGCTCATGCTATGCATGGAAGCAGAGAGTGAAGGGAGGAGTTAGGAAGAGAGAGAAACCTGTGCAGGCCACACTCCCAGAGACCCACCTCTTCTGACCACAGCCCACCTCCCAACAAGTCAGCTATATTACCCCCATGATCATCTTCCAAAAGTCTCACCTATGAGCACATGAGGCCTTGGGGGAACATCTAGATATAAACCATGACACACCATGAGAAGAAGATCCTATCTTCATCACCAATATGAAAGAACTGAAACTAAGGGAAGACCAGTAACTTGCAAATATCTCTCTACTATAAATGGTAACTTTGGGGTTCTATCTAGATCTCGCTGGTTCTTTAGCTTATTGTTAGCCTGTTGCATCTTTAAAATACTATAGTTCTTGGGCATTAACCAGCACATTTTGAGGGTAATGCAAAATCAGCCTAATCAACCAGAGGGCTGAG